TTGTTGGCAGACAATTAACTTTGGATAAGGGAGACTGCTTTTTTTGTTAGGGAAAAATATTATTCTTGTACGTTACAGCTTTGTTTGCTCGTTGTTTGGATCTTATCAATTATTCTGAGTTTAAAGCTACTATTATAGAAAATTGTTTTGTTTTGCTTTTTTATTAATTTAAAAAACATAAATTAATGAACGACATTATATGATTTTTATATTATACATAGATATAGATATTTACATTTTCGATATTTAAATGCATCCCATTTGCTATTTTGATGACCGTATTCACTTATATTGTCCAATATACATTCGATTAAATCTGACAACTCGTATTAAATATAACACAGTTTCACTTTTATTATTACCTTTATATTCCCCATTTAAATATACGATAATTTGTTTGTTTATTTTGTTTGCTGGCTTGTTTTGGAAAAGTTTTTTCAACTCTTCCGTTGTTGTTAGTCAACAAAGCAAAACGAATTTTTGTAAACAACAATGGCATATTGTAGTTTCCGTCTATTGTATATAACATTTTATAAGCATTGTGCGAAAGTTTTCATTTGTATTTAGTTCCGTTCTGTTTTAGAGCTATAATTACATGCTCGTTTTTTCCTATCATTTGTTGTTTATTAAACAAAGTTATTCTGTTAATTGGTAAGCCAAAAAAGTTCATTAGAGTCCGCAACAAATCAATTTAGTGTATGCATGGAAATGTAATTGTAATTGTGTCTCGAGCAGATGTAGTCTTAGAATAATATGTAATACATAATATGTTTTGCTTTAAGAATGCATTTTGTAATGTATATCATTTAGTTTAATTAAAAATATATACTATATTAACATAATAAGATTTAGAACAAATACAAAATGACTGTTTGGTATGTTAAGACAAACGTAGAAGTCGTTGGAGTAGGTTATTAGAAGACAACTCACAAATATATATAATATAGTAAAGGAGACACATACCCGGTTGTGAAGCTTAATGTGTTAGGAACGCATTTACGACTTACATGATGTATGTCTGCACTATTGAAGCTAGTTTTATGATTAGAACAGTGAGCTGCAGAGATATTCATGAACTCTGTATGTATAAGAGAATGGCCTCTTTAGTGTGCCTGCTGGCATATTAATTTGGGATTGCCCTGCTGAGCAGAGACACCTGCAGAACTTTTACACCCGAATGCTCGCATAATAAATACAGAGTACACAGAATTCTGAAATCGTGCAAGAAGGCTGCTGAGGAGACTTCCATAAACAGAGACTGTTTGCCTTCATTGAGCCTTGCCTCGTTGATTAAATGCGTGTGAGTGCTTGTTGCTCACATGATGTGTCTGAATATTTGCTTACTCTTATTGCCAGATCCTGTGCATCTAATGGAACTTCGGTTGTCAATCGAAGCAGCGCCTGCTTAGACACTTCATTTGATTTGATGCTGGGTATAATGTGTATTCCATGCATGTTGTGCAGGCAATTAGAAAATTAACAGATCAAATGCCCCAGTGGCATTCTAAACCAATGACAAACACACAAATTTCTGTATTGAATTTAATGTTGGAATTTCTATGAGTAAGGCAAGCGTGTGGTTGCTCACTCTGTTTCTATTGGGAACTCGCTAAAGCAGTCCTTTATTCATTGCTTATCTTGCCTGAGGTTCGACCTCAACAAGAACTCTAACAAATTAGTGCGCTGCTGTTTCAAATTAAAAGTTAAAAACCCAAAATGGGCAACGGCGATGCAGTTAATCACAGCGCCAATTGTCGTATTGTTGTCGTCATCCTAGTCATCGACGCGGTTGCTCTTAGCGTTTGGGAATCCGCAACGGGAATGTGGAAGTGCACATGGGAATGGCCATACAATTGGCAATGGATATCACCCGAGCGGCACTTTTATTGTGCCAAGTATACGCAGCAAATGCATTCGGAATTTCTGCATCCATGGCGGCAATTGAGCGTTTGTGGTTGCATTGGCCTCGGGCCTTTGAATGAGCAATTCGCCGACAATTTGTACGCACGGCATAATTGTTGCTGCGATGGCAATGTTGTGTTGGCCACGCACAGATTAAATCGATGGTCAAAAGCGGACAAAGCGGAAATGCAAAAACGGTACTAAGCTGCCAAATGAACCCTGGCGCACAGGCCCCCGGTGCATCGCATCAATGATTGCAATAATGTGAATGCAGTTTGCCGTAAATTTACAATTCGTTTAAATCTTCCCAAACATTTTTTAATGGTACTTCACATTTGGAATTATTTAAATTTTCACATTTGTCACATTCTGCTGATAATACGGGCAATATATTGCAAAAGTTTTTCACACATTTTCACAGTTTTTTCATAAAGCTACAAATAACCAGTGTAAGATTGTTATCATTTTTATTATGTGGTATTTTAATTGAAAATACCCCCATACACAATTCCAAATTTTTGCTTTTCATTTAACATCTTGGTGTGTATGTGCATATGAAAATCGCCACAATGAGAAAAATGTCCAAATTGGAATTAAAAAAAGAAATTCAGAGAATGTAAATATATGAAATTGAAATTAAGTAAATGGGAATCGATTACCGGCTCTTTTGCATATACAATTGAATGAATTTATGCATACCACTATAATTGAATAAAATTAAATTACACCAATAAAAAATAAATAATAATTTAATGGCAAATGGAATGTGACAAATATTGGGTATGATTTAGAAATGAATAAATGAACTGACAAAAGCAGCCTGCTATAGTTTTTGCTTACTTCTCTTTCGTTTATGATGGAGCTTTATTCTCTCAAAGTTCAGAGTGGTTGTGTACGGAGTTGTCTAAGCAGTGTGCTCCTAAATAAATTGCGAATATTCAAATGGTATTCATGGCACAGTCAAAGCTGTGCACCATTTCCGCTGATATAACTATAATCCAGCATAATGAACACATGCATATTCATAACACACAGCTACAAATGTATACATCCACACAGAGGTGTACAGGTGGCTGTGTGCTACTCTGTCTGTATGCGACATAAATCTTGGGCAAATAAATCCAGCGAAGAATAAAAAACAAAAACGAGATGGCTGCAGCATACGCGAAAGACAGAAAATGAAAACTCACGCGCAACTGTAAATAACCTAAAGGGGGAGAGTGCCATCTGCCTGGCATAGCAATCATGGACACCTAGCCGCCTATAAACGCAACTGTCGACGGTTTTTGCATTTAAATGTGCGCAATTTGCTCTGAGCGTGAGCAAAAAAACTGTTGCCTACTTTGGGGCGCACGAGATGAAAATGGCGTTAACGGATGTGAAACATGTGCGATTCCAAAGCGAAATTTGAACAGCAACAAGCGCACAAGCAAAATAAGAGAGATATAGAAAAAGAGTGTGTGACAGTGGAAGCACAGAATGGAAATGATAATAACAATGCTGTGGCTGGGGTTTGGCTTCAATTATTCGATATGCCACGATTTGCATGGTAAGCATTTCGTTTGACAGCGGAAGTTCATTAACGCTAAATGCGCCGCGTGCTGGAGAGTGTAGTGCTGGGACAAGCAACAAGCAACAACTACAACAACAGCTCAACAAGAACTCAGTTCAACATTGTGGGCGACTCGATAAAAAAAAAATCTAAGCACTTAATTTGAAACCACAAAAAGGGAGTTAAGCAAAATGCATAATGTAACAATTGGTTTTCCTTTTTCTCTATTTTTGCATGCCCTGCAAAAGGGGACCGAATACTTTGTTTCTTTTTTTCTATCTGGAGCCTACCTGGAACCTATGTTCTTGTTGTGGTGCAAAAATAATTCAATAATGTTAGATTTTTCATACATAACACTGAAAACAGAGTACGGCGCTGTCGGTTAATTTCGACTGCACCGCCTCCACTCACTTTTTTACACTGCGGCTTCTATTCGAGCGTATTACGTGATAATATGAACGTCAAAGCAGTGTGCCAGTCGCTAATTTTCCAAAAATTGCTATTCCTCTGGTTGACAGTACTGTGTCAAGGAACTTGAAATGTGTACAGTGACATATTTCAGAGCTTTTCATACATATTTTAATTCAATTTCAAATTTCTCTGTATGCTTGCACATTTGTATAAACGTTGATATTTCTGCATCTGTGACATTACTTAAATCCAAATTTTAAAAATCAATTTGAATAAAAGAGCATTTTGAAAGTGAGCAGTATTTAATTTTTCCGACAGCACACATACACAAGTATTTTAACTAGACCCTCGTCCGCTCGCAGCTCCTGCAACATTGATAAACGGATTCAACGGAACTTTATTCAACATTAATTACGCTCGTGGTTGTGATTCGATTGAATTTTTTCTGCCTGCGGTTGATTTCTTTTTGCACTTTTCACGTTTAAATCACTGCCACAAGCTGTTAGCCCAACTCTGAGGGGGGTTTGATGTGCGTCCATCATAGTCGTCACTATCGGGCTTGCAGACCACACAGCAACTACTGAAAAAAGCAACCCTGTGGATAGTAATCCACTCGGCTGCCAAATACAGCGGTTTCAATGGTTGCATCAATTGAATTAAATAATTTGTGTGTGTGCATTTTATATGCTCTCTACTTTTGATTATTTTTGGAGTTATTGTTTTGTCACTTGATCACTTTACATAGAATTTTTAATTTTTTTTATATTACCTCAACATTAAACTCACGTTTGATTGTGTGCCACTTGGCAGCTGTTTTATTTTAAGGTAGTGAATTATTTTATTTTCCATTTGTTATATTTTTGTTATACAATAAACTAAAAGCCAATTCAGGTGTATGAACAAATTCGTGCAAATGGATTTAATCAGGTAAAACTATACGTGCATGCATAAGTATATTAAATATAAAAATTGTATAAAACCAGGATAAAATAATTTGTAGTCAATCAACTTTAACAGCATATGGAAGCGTTGTTATTATTTTTTTGGTTCGATTGTTCAACTGAGTCGGCCGTGACATTTATAGCGTTTTATAGTTATATTTTCTGTGTAGTGACCATTTTGTTTTATTATTTCAACATTTTCGAATGATCACACAACAGTAAGTAACATTCTCCCATTTTTTTTTCGAATTACAAATAAATTTTTCGCATCCATAAGTATGGATGAGTTAAATGAGGCAAACTTGAATGCCCTGTGCACAATATGGGAGCAGAAGCAGAATAACTTTAGAGACGATATTCAGGAACTTCTCAACCAGAGCAAAAAACTTGACAGACAGCTCCGCGAGGCAGCTGATGAGCCCGTGGATCCGGAACAGGCTGAAGAACAATTTAAACTTGAACAGCTAATGATCCACCTAACTGTAGAGCTGCAGCGGCTGAATGACAAGGATAATGCAAAAAAGGACTGGCAGAATACCCTGGACCAGATACGAGCTAAAATCACCAGCATGTCGCAGAGCCTGTCGGAGGTAGGACTTATAGACCTCTCGGCCATGAACGAATTGTGCGAGTTGCCGGATAATTCACAGCGCAACTACAAACTGCTCAGTCAAGCTCTGAAACGATGTGAAAATTTGCGTACTGAGAATCTCTCGGTCCTCATCGATCATGTGCGCACAGATATCAAGCAATGGTGCGATATGACGCAACATCCTCCACCTGCACTAGATGCCAAAAATGATTGCAGCAGCAACGAGATGTTGGTTCAGCTGGAACAGAAACTGGCCGATCTCAAGGACTATTACAACACCAACCAAGAAATCTTGGAGCTGTATGCCAAACATGTCAAACTCTTGACACGCATGACAGCTCTGAAGGATCAGTCAAAAGATCGCAATCGCTATCAGAATCGTGGTGGTGCACTGCTGCGGGAGGAGCGGGAGCGGAACTGCATATCCAACAAACTTCCCCAGATTGAGAAACAACTGGATGAAATGGTGCAGGCCTTCCAGCATCGAACAGGCAAACCGTTTTTGGTGCATGGCGTTGAAATACTCTCTCGTATTTCGAGTAATTGGCAGAATTACCACTTGGCCAAGGAGCAGCAAATGAACGCACGTAAAGCAGTATTATTCCAAGATAAATTGCCTCAGGCGGCCGCAGTGGGCCCAATACGCAGAGCGTGCTCGGTGCCGTTTGTCAGTCGCACAGCTTCTGAAACATCTCTGAAACACCTCAAGCCACGTGCTCCGATCTAATATAGATGTGATACTCCTGTCTGTTATTCTGCTACTGATTTAGTCGAGTTTTAAATTGGTTGTATTATATTTTTTAAATTTAGTAGGGGTGTTTTGCTATTTTTTATTTTCATTTTTATCTATGCAAGAATTCGCGTCTTGAATGACGAATAGAGCTGAGAATATTAGTGTGTTCGGCCGGAAATTGGGTAGTATTAATAAAAAGAAAATAATTAGTACAAAAAATAAACCATATATGATGAGTATCTATCTTCTTTTGTGCTTTGCATTCTCTTTTGACTCAATTCCTTTCGCGTTTTTGATATTCGCCGTGTTCATCGGGGCAGTTCAATTAAATGGCCAAAAGCATAAGTAACAATAAGTACTGTTTTATAGTAATTGATTTATAACTATTTTATAAGTAGCTTGGTCGAACTGTAAAATGGTCTGCAAAATGATGATGAATAAAACCTAGGCAACTTCTCACTATGAGTTGCAAGTGCAACATTTGCCGTTCGTAAAATAGAAAACTTTTAAATAAAACTTGTTTAAAACGTACAAAATAATATTTTAAGCTTCGGACCAGAATTTAGATGTGGTCAGCTTGATTAAGTTCAACAAGGGTGTGGAATCTTGGCCATGCCTAAGATAGCAGTGCTTCCTTATTTTATATTCTAGTCAATTCCGTACTGTGTGCCAAGCAAAGACCTTCAATTTTGCCCACACTTACAGCTGTCACTCAGGCGTTTTGACGGGCATTTGGCAATTTCAGTGTTCGCTACTAATCCAGACAAACTCGGCTTAATTACTTACAAGCAAATTGAAGACATAAATAAATAAAATGCGGCAGGGCAGCGCTGAAACGGAACTTCAACGCCAGATCAATGTGAATAAGGGGCCGGAGGTGGATGATGGGGAGAACAGTCGAACTTAATGCCCATATTGATAACATAAGCTGCATAATATATATAAGCTGGACGAACTCAATCAGCAGTCGAATTGTGGCTGCGTCTTGAGTTCAGCTAAGTCGTATCGATTTGACTTTTGATTGATACGCAAGTTGTTATGTGTACTGGCTAAGAGAGCGCGTTGTCAGGTTGGTTATTTGATTAGAGCATCGCGTAAATCCCCATGAATGAAGTTAGAAAGCTGGCTCGCCTGGCTCAGCGTATCAATTTTAATAAATTTGCACATGGCCCGCCATTAATTTCAGTTAATTTGCCATTTTTCATGTCTGCTGCTACGACATTTAGCATCGGAACAACCCACAGTCCTTTCGGCTCACGGTTACCTTTTGCATACGGCAGTCGTACATCAATGACACACCAGCGAGCGGCAGAGCCGTAAATATCCATGAAGGCAGCCAATATGCTTACACGCACACAATTTCAGCGCCTGAGCGGTTTTAGACTTCCTTCCGTACTCCCTCCAAGGTCTTGCGGATATCCTTCCGCTTCAGCCCGTTCGATGGATCATAAATTCTGCAATGCGTCGTAATTCTTCACCGAGTCCTCTAAGTGGGCGGAAGCAGCGACAGTAGCATCAGCTACAAGTTATTCGGCTTATTGGCGCTTTGCTGAAGCGATTTGGCTAATAGTTGGCAAAACTTTGCAGTCTCCACTGAAGATAGCCAACTTTCATTGAGCTAAATATTGCAATTGTCAAAACTTTGAAAACAAGTTCAATATGCAACTGATGCTTCTCGCAAATATGCAAATATTGTAAAAACTTGATAGCTTCGGGGTTAATCTACAGAGTTATGATTCCTATTCCGAAGAATAAAATAAACATGATTAATTTTAAAACTAGAAAGGTAATATTTGCATAAGAGTATCGTGGAATTAATTGACAAGGATTAGGTTCAGCAATTAGAAAAAAAAACAAATGAAAGTGGAATAAAGCTAAGGCAATAATTAGGAAAATAAAATGGAAAGACTTTGTTGTTACAGCTAAAGTGCATTTCACAGTTAAGTTTTAATGATTTTCCGTATTCCATGCGGCATATATTATTCATTGAAATGCCCGAAAAAATTGGACAAAATTATGCGTTAAGTTTCTGGTTGCGTGTTGCCAAGTTTTATGTGCGGCAGCGTGTTAATGGATTTGGCCAAAAGGAAATCCATAACAAAAAGCTGGTCGCGAATAGTTGAAATTATGCGTTGAGCGTGCTTAACTTATTTGAAATTAATTAAAATGCTGTCAAATGCAGATAGGGGAGGCGAAGAGTTCTAAGGTGATGGACGGTGGTGCTGGAGATGAAGATGGAAGTTCGAGCTTTAACAAATTACACGCGTTACGTATACGCATTGTGCGGAATTGATGGCGAAAAAAGGCAGTCGCCGGAAATTACCAGGTGAGTCAACAGTTTTATTTTTTTTCCTTTCGTCTCTCATATTTCGCAGCTCCTTTATCAAGAAAACCTTTTAAAACGCATAACAATAACGAAAATTTGAAAGAGATAAAAGACGAACGTACGTGGGCCGGCAACGGAAATGATTATATCTCCTTGCCAGGTGAAGGTGGATGTGGATGTGAATGCTGGATGCTGGATGGTGGATGGTGGATGTAGAGGTGGAAGGTTGCCATTGTTGGCCACGTTGTTGTCATTGCGGGCCATTGTTCCATTGCCATACCAGTGCAATTTTCATTTGGCTGTGTCTGGCCGACGCGTCGGCCTCTACCTGCGCCGTTATCAGTGACAAACGGCCGGGTCGTAAACCGAGAGAACGAGCCGGAGAAATCAAGCAACACGAGCGCAATTTACACATTTAAAATTCAAATAAAGTCATTTGCATGCAGACACAATGAGCAAAGCACACAGAATGCTCAAAATGTGTACCAGAGGACGATTAGAACTGTACGAGCTGGACACTGTCGCAACATATGCGACTATTTTGACCGTCTGACCTTTGAACTCGGCACAGGTCTCGCAACAAAATGGCCGTCTGCTATTTTTGCTTTTTATACATTTGTCATCATTAGCCCCGGCCTAAGAAAAAGTGTCATAAAAGGTAGCCTGGATAATGAAATGGCAGCTGGAAGGTGACTGGACACGAATCTGGTTTGGGTATTTCTTGTTTTAGCAGTGTGTTCAACAAGGGTAGCGAAATGTGTACAGCATTGAAATGAATAATATGGAAAGTATAAACACATAACCTGAAAATACCAAAAAAGTCCCCAAACTATAAATCATCGAAACTTTTGACCTTTAATTCAAATTAGCAGACATATTGGAATACAGAAAAATATAACGATGAACACAATTTTTAACTTGTAAGTAAGAATTTTGAAAATGTAAATACAATCTGAATTAAGCTCCATACGAACATATTTTATTTCAAAGTTGATTGATATGCAAACATTTAATATGAATTCATTTTTAAGTCTGGACTGAATTATTCAATTAAATTAAAAGGTTTTTCACGTTCAAATTGAATTCAACGAATAACATTTGGTTGTTTCTGATGACTTCGCTGACACATTACTGTCCGTAAAAGCAATTTTCAATGATTTATTAACAGACTCCATTGAGATTTTCAACAATTTTTGCCATTTTTCATTTGTGTTTGGCTCACAGCCTGCATGACTTTGCCAAGACAAAGGCTTTCTGGCAATTTTTGTTAGCATGTAAATATTATTTTTCTACTCCAGTCTATGTGGTACACACAAAATGTGGCATGGTCTGACTGGTCCCCACTCTGATGCCATGTCAAAAAAGTTTTCACTGTACTGGCACCGGCCCAGGAACAGACGTAGACACAAACTCACTTACACTCTCATACAAATAAACGAAAACAAACAAAGAGCAACACACTCACACTCATCCGCACAGGCTCACAGTTTGGGCCCTGTTTATTCAATCAACAACGGCAACTTGATAAGAGTGGAACAGGAACATAGTCGGCACAGCAATGTCACAATGCAGGAGCACATGACAAACGCAAGATGACAGTTGCCATGTTGAAAAATGCCACAACTACATATATGAGTGTGCGTTTTTGTTTGTTGCTTCCTGTTTTTATTTTTTTTTTGTATATATTTTTTTTTGCATTTGCGTCAGGTGGCTTGTCAGTGTTCGCAAAGTTTTTCTGCTATTTAAATCATGTCAGTTTATCTAAACAACACCTCACAATCCACCCTCGGCAACAGTTGCCACACCTACTGTTACGCCCCTCGTGGGCGCCTTTTAGTTGTGGCCACAACATTGCTCGCTGTTTTTGGCATCTTGTCAAGTTTTGCCGTCTGTGGGCAGTGTTCTTGTGCTTTTCTTGTTCGTTTTGCCTGACTTGCAATTTCCATTGCGTGTGGAACGGGCATAAAACATTATCCCATCAACTTTCCCTTCCACACAAAAGTAGTTAAGTATTTTTCGTATCATTTATGTTACTGCAGTTGGTATGAAATATATGTGTAATTTTTTTGTGATTTGTTGGGCTACTTAATGAATCAACAGAGTATATTTTTATAACGTATTGTATACAATTATTACTTAAGGTTAACATGTGTTGGATTGAGACAATGGGTCATCATCGCTGCGGCCTTACAGAGACCAGAGTAAAGTCTTATATATCTCATATGTTATTAGAGTTCATATGCCTTTTAATAAAATTGGTAATTGACTTTAGTGCTGTTCTCAATGGGTGCTCTATCAATAAAAATGTGAGAAAATACCAGTCAAATTAAAAATTGCACAATATTCATGTACATTGTCAGTCAAAAGGATATTATTATTTTACTAATTGATAAACGAAATGCATTGACCAATAATTGCTAATAATAACATATGCAGTTAATTACTCAGTTTAAAATATATAATCAAATGCAAAAGTTTTTTTTTAAATTAATTTCAAAGTTGTCACTGTAATTAAACAATGTATATGTCCATGTTTAATATTGTAAAAAAAAAACCTAAAAAAGGAAAAAACTGTCAGCGCACAGAAATAACTATAACAGAAAATGCACGCAGGACTGAGAGAAACAACAACAAATTGTATGTGTGACGTCAGCGAGACACAAGTGTAGTTAGTCACATGGTCACTCGCATTTAAAATTAATTATACGACGAGTGTTGCAGTAACAGCTTTGCGTCATCCACTTAAGCGC